TTGCTACACTGGGCAATTTTGTGAAACTTGTAAGTTACAAATGTTTATACTTGGAGCCATTAACAGTACGATCTGAATTCCTATTATCATCATCTTATGCATGCACTGTAAGATCTGTTAAATATTCTGAATGCGCCACTGAGCAGAATTTTATTCTGGATAAAATGACATTTATAGAAGTTGATTATTGATTGATGAAGTGATATTAATTTCAGTGTTAAATGCTTGCAACAACAATACGTGTCAGAATGGAGCTGCATGTGTCCAGGTTTCTGGTTCTTGTACTGATTACACATGTTCCTGTCCTAATTGCTACACTGGCCAATTTTGTGAAACTTGTAAGTTACAAATGTTTATACTTGGAGCCATTAACTATAAGATCTGAATTCCTATTATCATCATTTAATGCATGTACTGTAAGATGTTCTGGTAAATATTCTGAATGCGCCACTGAGCAGAATTTTATTCTGGATAAAATGACATTTCTAGCAGTTGATTGATTGATAAAGTGATATATAATTTCAGTGTTAAATGCTTGCAACAACAATACGTGTCAGAATGGAGCTGCATGTGTCCAGGTTTCTGGTTCTTGTACAGATTACACATGTTCCTGTCCTAATTGCTACACTGGCCAATTTTGTGAAACTTGTAAGTTACAAATGTTTATAGTTTGAGCCATTAACTATACGATCTGTATTTTTATTATCATCATCTAATGCATGCACTGTAAGATGTTATGTTTAATGTTCTGAATGTGCCACTTAGCAGAATTTTATTCTGGATAAAATTATATTTCTAGCAGTTGATTGATTGATTGATAAATGAAGTGATATAATTTCAGTGTTAAATGCATGCAACAACAACGCGTGCCAAAATGGAGCTGCTTGTGTCCAGGTTTCTGGTTCCTGTACAGCTTACACATGTTCCTGTCCTAATTGCTACACTGGGCAATTTTGTGAAACTTGTAAGTTACAAATGTTTATACTTGGAGCCATTAACTATACGATCTGAATTCCTATTATCATTATCTAATGCATGCACTGTAAGATGTTCTGTTAAATATTCTGAATGCGCCACTGAGCAGAATTTTATTCTGGATAAAATGACATTTCTAGCAGTTGATTGATTGATAAAGTGATATATAATTTCAGTGTTAAATGCTTGCAACAACCATGCGTGTCAGAATAGAGCTGCTTGTCTCCAGGTTGTTGGTTCCTGTACAGCTTACACATGTTCCTGTCCTTCTTGCTACACTGGGCAATTTTGTGAAACTTGTAAGTTACACTGTATGTTTATAGTTTGAGTTGTTAACTTTCAGATCTGTATTCCTATTATGAACATCCAAGGAATGCACTGTAAGTTGTTTTGTTGAATATTCTGAATGCGCCATTGAGCAGAATGTTATTCTGGGCATATGATGCAATAACATTTGTAGCAGCTGACATGTCTGACTGACTGAATGATTAATTGATTGATTGCGCCAAGGGTAGGAGAAGGGTAGAACGAGTCAGATCACAAACGGACACTACTGCTAGAGTAATATGGCAAAACAAACGTGTTTATTAACTGATACCAACAAGGTAACCAACAGCAACGAACAGCAAAATGGAAGAGAGCGATAAAGTCACACTCGCCGATAGAGGGCGAGTTGTGCTACTGGCGTGACTACTTTTTCTTTTCCTTTAAAACACTTTAAACACCCACAGTAGCACGCACTGATGTCTAAACTAAAGCAATGTTAAACAGGCTCTCAAAGAATAGTACGAAGTGTACAGTAATAACATACGTGTACCTAAGGTACAAAGCCTAATGGAAAATCAGTTACAAGTGTACTTAAGGTACGAAAGTCTAATCTAAAATGCAGTCACTGAGCCTGGCTGGAAGACGGTGTCTTCTCTTGGGACGTCGTAGAACAGGTTCCGAATAGAGAGATGAGTCTGGCTGGAGAATATGTTGAAAGGTGAGGACGGCAGGTCCAAGTTTGATGGAGTAAAAATTTCACGCGGTACAGCAGGGGGAAGCGGAGCAGGCTTCTGGGGATGTTCCATGAGCTTCTCACCGCGGGTGCATGTGGCCATGGGGGGAGGGGGATAATGGCAATCGGAAGTGGGCACAGTAAAACATTCAGAGCGCTTGACGCGATACGAAGTACTCCTGAGCTGTGAGCCAACGAACTTCCGAATACAGCACCAAGCACCATCCACGTCAATCACAAGGTAGCGTTGACGACCCTGGGACTATTTACCGTCTGTAATGAGATAAACTAGATCTCCAATCATCTGCACAGTAGTATCTGGTGCTGTCCGCAACGTAGAGGCCTTGGACCTTTCGCTATAGGGGTGGTTAGATAAGCGCCGGTCATGTTGGGAAAGCAGAAGCTCGCGATCAGAAACAGGAATTTGCTTGTGCGAGAATTGATCGCGCTGTGTCCACATTTCGCGAGCCGACAATCCGCTAGCGCGAATCCGGGTGTTGAGTCGGGCAGTAGCGATGGAGAGGGTACTAGCAGACACCGGGCCGTCGCGCGGATCCTGGCGGAGTAAGTCAACTTGGAGTTCTTGGACACCCCTTTCTGCAACTGGGTTCTTGTTTACATTCTTAATTCGCCCAACTTCAACAAATATTCTGTGATCTTTTAATAGCTTGTCGTCGACAAGGGCTGTATCGTAGCGGGAGGACCATCTAAGGGACGTAATTCAATACATAGACGAAGCAGTGCATCGCGTAGGGTGTGGCGCTCGTTTTCAATCAGACAAGACAAAGTGTAGGACGTTACAACCTCCCCCAAAAGAACTATGAGCTGACATTCGCGCTTTATGACATCAGCTGCAAACGCGATTCCAACAACCTCTGGTGGGTCCCCGGTGGTCTGATCAATCATGGTATGACGTATGCGACGCAAAGCAGCACACTGATGACACGAATCGGAAACTTGGTCAATATACTTGTCTAAATCAAGAGCGAAGAAATAGCGGCGAACAGATCGTTTGAGCTGGTGACTAGTGGGGTGGTCGAGACGAATGTGAAGGGCAGTAAGGAGACCCTCAATGGTAGATCTGGGGACTATGATACATTCCTTAGTAGCTGCCAGAGGCTCACAACGAGGGGCGACTAAAAGGTTATCCCTGCCAATAGACGCAAAATTGAGATATCTTTTGATATCTTTGACATTGGTGATTTTCTTAGAGGGACGAGTACCCTGTAGTAGGTGAGCCCTAACTCTTCTCATGTCTGAACACTCATTCTGGAGAGCTAGCCAAGCTGTCTTGTTAGTAAAAGGTAACCGGGCAAGGTAACCTAAAATTACATCTCGTGTGGAAGTGCGCAGTACGACAGATTCTTCATTATGGTGAACAAAAGAACAAACATGGCAGTTGTCAGAGTCACACATGGGTGCATTGTGACTTGCAAAGTCGGATGGTATGTTAGCTGATCCTGCCAGATGCCTAATAGATACATGATAGCGACCAGGGACATATCCAGGTGGGAGCCGCGGCTCCCCCCCCCCCCTTTGTACACAGTGTTAACATTTTAAAGCTTATTCTTGAGCCAATACAAATTCTTTCCTGGGATCACTCAAAATTAATACTTCTAAACATGTAAATATGCAACAGTACAAGTTATACATAGGCATAATAGAACGCATAGGCCTAAGCGTGATTTAAAAAAAATCTTAAATCCATAAATCTCAGGCCAGGTCTTTTAAGATAGAAATGCGATACTGTGGTTCAATTTCGTTTTTATCCTTTTGCAAGTTTCTTTAAATGTTTGTTTAATAATACTACTACTAATAGTAATAATAATAATAACAATGATGATGATGACGATAGTAATAATTGATAATAATATTAATAGCAATAAAAAGTGAAGAAAATTGTTCTAAATGCGAAAAAAAAGTTGTGATTTGTTGATCATACTATAGTATATATTCAGCTAAAGCAGTAGATTCCAGATAAAAGATCATGAGAAATTTGTTGACGTTTCATTTTGACTATAATGGTAATGTGATGATGATGAATTTACTATATAAAAGTGTCATTTTCGGCCATCTCGAGAGGTACTATTTCCTCAAATTTTCTCACCTCAGCCCCAGCCATGGTGGGGCTGAGTTGGTTGTGAAATCACGT